AGTGCTTGGCTGTAGACGATGGATCGTGTGGTGTGACCGGGGTGGAAGCTGGAGGCATGAAGGTAGGCATAGCGGTCGGTGGGTTTTCGGTATAGGGTGGTGTTAATGTGGCCATCGCTTATTTGTACGGTGGTGTCTAGGAAGTGGACCTCCCGTGTAGATTGGTCCAGGCTGAGGTTGATGGTGGGGTGGAAGCTGTTGAAATCATGGTGGAATTCTTCCAGAGTCTCTTTCCCATGGGTCCAGATGATGAAGATGTCATCAATATAGCGTAGGTAGAGAAGGGGCATGAGTGGACGAGAGCTGAGGAAGCGTTGTTCCAGGTCAGCCATAAAAATGTTGGCATATTGTGGGGCCATGCGGGTGCCCATAGCAGTGCCACTGGTCTGGAGGTATATATTGTCACCAAATTTGAAATAATTGTGCGTGAGGATAAAGTCACAGAGCTCAGCAATAAGTTGTGCTGTGTCATCATCAGGGATACTGTTCCTGACAGCTTGTATTCCATCTGTATGTGGGATGTTTGTGTAGAGAGCCTCTACATCCATGGTGGCTAGGATGGTGTTTTCTGGGAGGTCACCAATGCATTGTAGTTAGGTTTATTTCTTTTATTTTGTGATTAGGTTTATTTCTTTTATTTTGCAAGGCTTGTGGACTCCTCTGTGCCAACCCCAAATTCTTTTGTTTTGCTTGTAACCTTTAAACTGGACCTCAAGAAGGTTATTCTTGATGTTTAATTTTTGTAAATGGGATTTTTTAATCTAGTAAAAGCCTAAAATCCAGATGTATTTTCTTCCTTTTTGTTTTTAATAAAATTTACCGTTTTTTAAGAACAGGATTTGGATTTTTCTGTCTTAAGAGATTTGTACACATGTTTTTTAATTAGCTGGTGGCAACAGCTGATTTATTTGTTTTCCTTTCTCAGCTCTTCCCCAGAGGGGGGGTGAAAGGGCTTGAGGGTACCCCACAGGAAGGAATTCCCAAGTGTGCCTTCCTGGGTTCCCAGGGGTTTTACATTTGGGTGGTGGCAGCAACTACCCAGCCAAGGTCAGAGAAAAACTGTAACCTTGGGAGTTTAATACAAGCCTGGAATGGCCAGTATTAATTTTTAGAGTCCTTGCAGGCCCTCACCTTCTGCACTCGAAGTTCCAGAGTGGGGAATTAGCCTTGACAGGGCCATCATGAATACCTAGCACCTGTACTGGCTTTCTGCTTGCTTCCAAATACAGTTCAAGTATTGATTGTCTATCTGGAAGCTCCAAATAGCATAGAAAGCAGCAGTCCACCTGTTGAGATTAATCTATCTCTGATAGGAAATCTACTGTACTCTGTAATACAATCAGGTACATTTGAATACTCCATGTTTGATGGGAATGCTGTCTCCATTAAGAGCCCTTGCCTTCAGCACTTTTTCCATTCAACAGTCCAGTAGAGTCAGACTCTGGTCACCTTCAGACAATACTAGGCACATTCATTTCCATTTACTATTGGATTTACTTTTTGTGCCTCCTGGTTTTTTAAAGTTATATTTGTTTATTTAAAGTGTTTAACTACCAAGGCAATAACTGCTATAGATTTTATTAACAACAACTACCAGATGAAATTAGTGTACTATACATCTGCAATGTTCATCTTCTATATTCCCCAGCCAATGAAATATTTTCTTTCCTTATTTGTTCCAAGTCTAGAGATATGGAAATAAATATATATATATAAAAAAAAAAAACACAGGCAAGATATTGCAAAGAAAATCCCATCAAGTTTTCAGTGTTTCAAGCTCTGTAGGAGTGTGTCATACAGATTAATATGGAACATTTTTCTTGTTTTTTCAGCTGCCCCAGAAGGAGCCTTGGCAGAGAGGTTATGTTTTACTGAGGCACAATTCTCTCCCTGAGCTTTCTGGTATACAGGGAAACTGCTTTCCCCCCCCCCCCCCCGGCTAATCAGAAAGGGGACGGTGCCATGGTTCCTCCTCCTCCCCATCCCTTTAAACAATGTGCACCCTTCAGTGCACTCCCTGGCATTGAAGGACTGCTGTAACTCCTGATCCTTCCATGGGGCCTGCTAGTTTTGTTTTTTGAGGGGCTGCAAGAGGCAATGGTGAAGCAATTTTTTGCCTCCATCACCTCATCCACTCACCTTCCTAAGTGCCCAGGTCAAGCTCCCCCTAAATGTCTTCTGACTCTTTCCAGTTTATCCCCAGATTCCTGATATAAATTTTACAAGAACATTACAGTTAAAAAATATACAGAGTTAATGTTAAACATGTCTAAGAAACTCAAAGATCTTAGTGTATGAAAAGGCAGTTAGGCATCCAAACCATCTTAAACTTTATCCTCGTAGCAATGTCTTGGGAAGGCCAGACACTAAGCAGCCTTAATGTTCCATAACAGACAGATCCATCCCTTCAATAATCACAAAACGAGGACACTTTACACAGTCTGATAGCAACTGTTTATGGCTGTACACACTTCAGAAAGAGATACTGTGCAAATGTCCACTTAGGCGAACATCATTCTCACTCCCATTCACAAAGATACCACTTGTCATGAGCTATAAGAGTGCCATTAGATACAGACCTAGTATATCTACCCACACAAGCCTCCTAAATTTACAGCATGACATTATAACACTCACATGAAAAACAAAGGTTAGCACAGTCACAAAACACCACCCTGTCCTGGGTACCTACCCAGAGAAGTCAGATTTTCCCCTAGCTCCCTGCCTCTCAGGTGCAGTGGGGAGAGCAAGCTCTATAAAGCTGCTACTCCCCCCTTGTGAGCAGAGAAGGGTGAAACTGAGTTGATGCAGAGGGGGAAGTAATCTGCTAATATGAGTCAGTAGCAGATTACTCCGCCCCCTTGCTCAGGGACAGAGATCCAGGGAACAGGCTTTTGGGATGCTCTTGTTGGAGCAGGGAAGTTGCACACCACGCCTTATTCAGAGTTAGAAGGAGAGCAACAGTCTAGCTCTTAAATATCAGACTCAAACATGAAAAACATTTTAAGAACATTGCTTTCTGGTTCATATTCAGTGCTCCATGCACAGTATGGGCAAAATACAGCATATTTCTCATGTGTACTGCAGCCACAGACTGGACTTCTTAAAACTCTTTTGGAAAAAAAAAATGGGGATGGTACATCAACTTTACTGTATCCATATAGTTGCATAGCAGCAGCTTACCTTATCCAACATCAGGATGAATGCACTACCTCAGCTTCTGACCTGAGGCCTCAATTGATCTGGGATTGTTGATGACTTGCTGTTTTGGCTAGAGGACTAAAGCACGAGCCGTTCCAGGACAAACTAAGAGTCCTGTAACCCTCCCCAATGCTCAGTAGTCCTCCTCGCCTCAGCACAGCATTTTCCTCACCATCTTTCCAGGCAGCTCATGTCCTCCCTACTACAGTCCTTGGGACCCTGAACTGGGGACAATCACCTACCCTAAGGCCGACTGTCCTGTTCCACTGGTTCCCAGAGCCAGTTCCTACAGCACCTTTTTCTCTGACTCTTCTCCTGCTGTCTTCCACAAACAACCTTCCTCAGTGTCCTTTACCAGGAAAACATAAGTCCTTACAAGTATAGTACTATTTCTACCAGTTTTCTTCTCCTACTGAGGGCAGGCTTCCTCTTATCTTTCCCAATAGGCCTGGTTCTCAGTCACTTGCTCTCTGTCATGTGATGCAGGGGAAGAGGGCTGGAATCACCAGGCACACTTGAACCTCTTAAAATCCTAGTTTACGCTCTAACACAGCGGTTCTCAAACTGTGGGTCAGGACCCCAAAGTGGGTTGCAACCCCATTGTAATGGGGTCGCCAGGACTGGCTCAGACTTGTTGGAGCCTGGGGCCAGGGCCAAAGCCAAAGCCTGAGCCCACCGCCTGGGACCAAAGCCAAAGCCCAAGGGCTTCAGCCCTGGGTGGTGGGGCCCAGGTTACAGGCCCTCTGCCTGGGGCTGAAGCCCTTGGGCTTCAGCTTTGGCCCCCACGCCTGGGACAGTGGGGTTCGGGCTTTGGCCCTGCCACCCGGGGCAGCTGGGCTCAGGCTTTGGTCCCCCCTCCTGGGGTCATGTAATAATTTTTGTTGTCAGAAGGGGGTCGCGGTGCAATGAAGTTTGAGAAAGTCCTGGTCTAACAAATAGTGAGTGCAAATTCAAAATTCCACAGTCATAGTCTGTGGACTGCTCAAGCCTTTAGAAAAAGTCTTCGATCAAAAATAACGTATCTTATAAAGTAAGTTTGAGAGGGAGATAGGAGGCTGGTGTTATTACAGGGTCAGAGTTAAGGTTGGTTGGGTGACCTTAACTGCAAATTGCCTTAGATGACTCAGATGATTGATTTTGTTCTTAAGTTTAGCTTTAATTGAATATATTAGCTCTGTAAATGATTAAAAAAAACCAGTAGTGTTCTAAGATTTTTTTTTTTTTTACCTTTAAGTTACTGAGATGTACTCTTAACTTTAATTCCTGCCTAACAAAGGACTAGGTTTTGGCAGGAGAGAGGGGCACCTTGACTCTGCCCCTTCAATGTGCCTCTTCCTGCCCACCTGCAGGAGGGGGTGATGTAGCAGTTCTGTAAAGATGGCAGTTCCCTGCCTGGCAGAAGCAGCAGTAAGGCACATTGGTGTAAGGAAGTTAGAGGGAGGCACCCCCTTGCACCCTTTTACCCCTTGCACTGGCACACAGAATGGATCATGATTTGGCCCAAAGTTTATTATATTTATTCTGAATATAATTTTGTTGTCTCTTTCTCACACACATACAGAGATGCTTATAGCTGATACTGAAATACTCTTTTTGAAGGCGTCACAATGGTATTGCATTTGATGGATAATCTTGTTAGATTCCATGAAAGGGCTGGAACAAACCGGATATTTAATGCTTTGGTACAGGCTCCAGGATTCCATTAGATTGTTTTAATAACAATTGCTGTGTCTGAACTTATTAGTTTTTCACTTCACTGAAATCATTGCTGATAAAATGTTTTTTTTCATATTTTCCAGGCGTCGCTTTCCTTCCAGCTAGTATCTCTTATCTTATTGGAACTAATATTTTTGGGGTACTTGCACACAAAATGGGAAGGTATGCTTAATTAAAAAACCACAATCCTTCAGTATATTCATGTAGCATTTCCAATTTTTCCTCAGGCAATTACTTTATAATAGAAATCATTAGATTTTATTAGATATTGTTAACCTGAAATTTCATTTAAATAAATCATGTTACGTATTTGGTTACATAATCCTGCACTACTACCTTAGAAATAGCATTGAAAAATTCCAGACCATTTCTAACAAATCTGCATTTGTTTGATGTCTAAGAGATAACATTTCTCCTTTGATAGGTGGCTTTGTGCTCTACTTGGGATGATAATCGTGGGAATAAGCATTTTATGTGTGAGTAAAAATTGACATGTCAGCAGAACGAACTACAAATTCAACTCAGCTCAAAAAAATGTATATATTAACTTTGAGTATGTATTTTGCTCATGAGATTTTATTGAAGTTTCTGCTTGTGATGCATTTTTAAACATCAGTTTGTTAATCAATCCTAAGTGCTTTCAACAAAAATTGCTTTCTAGAGAGTGCTTATCATGTTGCAGGAGGTGACCAAAGAGTTGAAGAATAAGAACCATAATTTCTTAGAGTTGCATCATAATCAACAGCTATTATAAGCTGTAATTAAATTCAATAAGTATTTGTTATGACACAATCATGCAAAGCAATTATGTTTTCATCTGTATTTCTGTACAAATTGCTCCATGCTGCCATACTAAACAGTTAAATCAATTGTTTTGAGTATTTATTTGCGAAAAAGACAATGATCCCATTAGCAAGATGTTATGGGTTATACTTAAATCTCTGAAATTTAATTTGCAGGTACCATTTGCCAAAAACATATACGGGCTCATAGCACCAAATTTTGGGGTCGGGTTTGCCATTGGTAAGTAAAATTACTTGCATGTACATATTTTGCTGTTTATTTAGAAAAATAACATTAGTACAGAATTACATCAAGGATTCTTTTTGTTGCCATTCTGAATGGGCAACACCCAAGGTTACACTCTGAAACAAATTTGTCAGTAGACAAGCAATAGTTTTAAGGCCTACATTCAAGGGTGTTCAACCTAGACTTTCAGCAACTGGACTAGATTCTGACCTCTGTTACCTGGGAATAACTCCATTGAGGTCAATGGATCTTTTAAGATGTCCCAGAATTCTAGCAATGCATTGTTAAAAAACAAAACAAAACAAAAAACCCCAGCACTTTACTATTGCCTGACATTTACATAGAAGCAAACACACTCGACTTACTGCTGACCCAGCGTAAATCCCCTAGCATACACTTGTGCCCTCTCGTCACAGTACACATGAATGTGTTTGCTTATAATGGACCATGCAGTGAAACTTGAGTGGGATTTTTTAATGATTACAGGGTACAGAGGTTGACAGATGGCTTAGTAATTTGATATTTAGCAGGTATTCTGAAGTGTCTGCAAACACAAAGGACTTTTAGTAAGTGTAGAAATTACAGTAATGTTTATAAACCACAAATGTCATGCAGCTTTTTGATCGGATAACTCATGCGGCTTTTATACTCACAGTGAAAACAGCTCACATCATTCATGTGAAGTACAGCATAATAATAATGACAGACTTGAAACTAGTACAATCCTTTATGCTCATAGGCATAAGCAAAGATGTATAAGCCTGGACTGAACAGTTTGTTTTCTATAGGAGTATGTTATTAAAAGCTTCTTTAGATTAACAATTCTTCTAGTTTCATTTACATCTTTTTAGATCATATGAGGTTGATATATTAAGAGAGAAAAATTAAAGCTGTTTCATGAAATATAATTTTCCTCCTATCATCATAATCAGGAATGGTGGATTCCTCAATGATGCCAATTATGGGCTACCTTGTAGATCTGCGTCATGTTTCAGTCTATGGCAGTGTGTATGCAATAGCCGATGTTGCCTTCTGCATGGGGTTTGCATTAGGTAAGGGCTTAATTTTCTCCTGTTTGTAACGCATCTAATAGACGTGAAAAGAGAAACTAAAAAAGGGCTTGGGGCAAATACCCAGAGCACTAAAGGCTCTATAAACTGCAAAACTGGTGTGAATCTGCTGCATTAGGTTGGTAGGGGAACAGAATGCTGGCAGCCTATAAGGAGATTCCACATCTCCTATATGCCGTGATGGGGAAGGGCAGGTGCTAGTCAAGGACGTTAGGTCCCCAGTATAGGGGCATTATAGTACCCGAAGCTACAGCAGTGGTTTCTCCTTTGCCTGGCTGGAGAAGGAAAGGATTCCATTGTCTTCCCCTCAGTGCACTGTGCCATGGAACCTTGCGCCTAGCCTATTTTCTTAGGTGTGGTGCAAGAACAGTGTACAAGAGTTCTGATTCCATGCCCATTGAAACCAACATGTGATCTCCAATTACTTCAGTGGCCATAGGATTGGTACCCAACAGCATTTTGTGCTTAAACATGAATTTTAAATGCATACACCTCTACCCCAATATAACGCGACCCGATATAACACGAATTTGGATATAACGAGGTAAAGCAGTGCTTTGGGAGGGATGGAGGGTGGGACTGCGCACTCCGGCGGATCACAGCAAGTTCGATATAACGCGGCTTCACCTATAACGCGGTAAGATTTTTTGGCTCCCGAGGACAGCGTTATATGGGGGTAGCGGTGTATTTACTTTTCTTAAATGGATTTTTATATCATGACTTTTGTATTTAAAAATATTTTTGCCCCCAGTGATTATCATAAATATTTTGCAGTATTTAGAAAGAGCTTTTTATTTCCAAAAGGTCCCTCTGCTGGTGGTGCCATTGCAAAGGCAATTGGATTTCCATGGCTCATGACAATTATAGGGATTGTGGATATTCTCTTTGCTCCTCTATGTTTTTTCCTTCGAAGTCCACCTGCCAAGGAAGAAAAAATGGTAAGCAGAAAATGTTATTTTGCAGTAAAATGAACAATGCCTTATTTATACTTCTCTAGCACTAATTATCCAGACAACCAAAGGACCCAGGGATTTTCTGCCATCTCTGCAATGCAGAATTTCTTTGACTCAAAGCAATAAGGGCCCAAAAGTTGTTCCCCAACAGTGTAATGGCTGGACTCGGTATGAAATCATGCAGCGCCTCTGGTGTGGAAACCTCAAACTCAGATTTGCTCTATCTGCTTTCCTCCTACCTCCGGAAAAGTGTTTTGCGGAGGTTCATCAAGTCCATGTTTATGATGGACTATTTCTTTAGGTCATTTCTACTGTACTCTTTGGGTATGTCTACACTGCAGTGAAAAACCCATGCCAGCTGACTCAGGCTCAGGGGAATGTTTAATTACGGTGCCGACATTCAAGCTTGGGCTGAAGCCCAGGCTCTAGGACCAGGCCAGGTGGGAGTGTCCCGGAGCTTGGGCTGCAGCTGGAGCCCAAATTTCTACATCACAATTAAACAGCCCCTGACCTGAGCCCAAGGCAGCCGGCACAGGCCGGCTGCGTGTGTGTAATTGCAGTATGCACATACCCTTAAAGGCCCTTTACAATGTATTTTGCTCCATCCCCATCTCCTCTTTATTCCTCCTTTTTGCAGCCCCTCTTACAAGTTAATTGGTCCTCTTTTCCTGGCTGTAGCTGCAGCAGGCCTTCTCTTGAGTTTCCTTTTGTTTCTTTTTTCTCACATCATCATATGCCTTAATCTTATCATGTACATTATCTTCAGCCTTGTTTGCTTCCAAGCTAGCATTGTGTAAGGCAGTTGTTGCTAGTTTCCCCCCTGCCTTCTTGTGCCATGGCCTACTTCTTGTTCGCCTCGTTCTTTCACTGCTCTCCTATTCCTCTTGCCATAGAATATCAGGGTTGGAAGGGACCTCAGGAGATCATCTAGTCCAACCCCCTGCTCAAAGCAGGACCAATTCCCAACTAAATCATCCCAGCCAGGGCTTTGTCAAGTCTGATCTTGAAAACATCTAAGGAAGGAGATTCTACCACCTCCCTAGGTAACCCATTCCAGTGCTTCACCACCCTCCTAGTGAAAAAGATTTTCCTAATATCCAACCTAAACCTCCCCCACTTCCACAGCTCTCCTCCCCTCCTTGAAATCTGCTGCCCCCTCTCCCTTCCCTCCATAACTCCCTCTTCTACTGCCCCTTCCCATTATCTCCTTTCTTCAGTCACCTACATTCCTTCTGCTTGGTCCAAGCCCCAAGATCCTTACCACTGGAGCTGATGTACTGCTCTGCTCTTATGCCTCTTCCAGCTGTCTGGCAAGAGGCTGGGAAGATGCAGCTGCCTGGCTACCATAAGAGACATGATACAGCCTCATCATTAAGTTAAATACAGCCAGAAAAATGTAGAATGACCAGTATTCTGATTCCAGGACCCAGACAGCCCTACAGACCCAGTACGATACTGGCTACAACATCTCTCCAAGCCCCATGGAACTGCAGGTCTAGCCCAATACTTCCTCCTAGGGGACCTGGGTCCTTCCCAACTTGGAAGAATGCTGGCTCTCACCCAAGATGTACTCCTTAAGTAAGCCAGGTGCAGTCACTTTCGCACTTAGGATAGCAAAAAGTAATTATGCATGGGGCCCTTATGTTCCAAGTGCAGTGACATCTCTCTGAAAGGTAAGAAGAGAATCATCTGACGTGACTCTATCACACTTAGTACAGGCACGTGCAGAACAGAAAATGGGATGAAATACTTGCAGAAAATCTGCCAACTGTGGATTCAGCGTACATACAGTTGATTCTGAAGGCAATTCCCTGAGATTTCTGCGGACTACTCATCATGACCTTTTTAGACTGCAATGATCATTTTCTACAGTGATTTGAGGTAGGGACGGGGAGGAGAAATAACTAACTACTGTTGTTTGCCAGAGATATAAACTTAGGCAAACAAGGTCTATAGCGTTGTTTCAGTCTTTGCTACGTGCAGATGCTTGTTTCTTGGAAAATCTGTTTGAAAGGCAGTAGAAGATTTGGTGAGAGGAAACATAAGAGGGACATTTCCTATCAAAAAGAGAGCCAGCCAAGAAGAGAAAATGTAGGCACTTCAAGAGCAGGAGAGCCTTGCTGCACCTATGAAAAAACCCCAAAACAAACACCTGGGGTTCCCAAAAGGGTGGCCTGAGGAAGGAAGAATAAGCCAGAAGCCAGGGAAGTATGCCGTTTGGAGAAAGAAGTATACTTGGTGAATGTGATTCAACTCAGAAAACAGCCAAAGCTTAACTGCTGGAGTGCATCTATGAGGATTGTAGTCACTAGGGTAGTTATAGAACAGGGGGGCAATTGCCCATGTCAGTGGTTTTAGGCTCATGGATTTAAACTTACTGAGGGGTTTTTTTGTTTTTTGTTTTTATAAAACATGCATTTTTCATCCCATAAGATGACATTCTTCATACAAGCCAGGGTAGGTGATACATTTTTTAGTTCCGTTGCCACATTAAACCACACTGATGGAAAATGAAAACTGAATTCAAGCATAACATGCACAAGCAGCACTTTCTTTTCTCTGGTCCCTTTCCCCCTTTACTCTTCTTCACTGATTTATTTGGTAAAGCAGTAAGGAGCAGATTATGATGGATGAAAAATCCAACACTGATGAAGCACTCATGATGAAATGGAAAATGTAGCTACAACATCACCATTAGTAAAACTACCCATCATTCACTATAACTTGCGGCATTCCACTAAAATTCAATAGAATGGGGAGTTGGCATTTAGTTCTGCTTTTGTGAACTCATCATGACCCTGAGTACACATGTAAATAGCAGACTGACCTGTGAATGAACTATAACCAGCAACCTGCAAACCCAAGAAAAAACAGAATTATTTTGGGGAGCAAAGAAACGTTCAGTGTACCTTTTAAAAAAAATGTATTGTGTAATTTCTAACTAAACTGAAGGATCTTTTAACATTGTATGTAGGCAAGAAATTCTTATAGCTATATTGCTCTAGTTTGATATACAAAGTCTTCCCAGAATTCAGTTTAAAAAAATCTCAGGGACAACAGGACAAACCAAAAAGATGATCCTTGACACTAATTTGAATTTAACTCTCTTGCAATATATTTAGGAATCTTTTGTATATAAGCAGTTAGACAACTGCACCTTTTTCTTCAGAAATTGTATTACTCTCTTGTGAGTAAGTAGCTGCATTGAAACCATAGGTCAAGTACAGCATCATTGATAGGACCATTTCATTTTCCTGTGGCAAGAACAGTAGACAAGGGGAAAACACTGTTCATGCATGAGTGACCGAAGCCAGTTTCCATCTGCCTGTGCTGCAGGTGAGCTTAAAAAAAAAGAATAAAGTGTCCTACTGTGAAGACAACAAGCTTAGTTTCAGCTATCTTGTTAAGGGCAAAAGGCCAATTTTGGATTGGAGAAATTCTCACATAACTATTTATACTGATGCAAAAATACAGGGTCCCTTACCCTCAAAGGTCTTGAAGTCTTGTGTGCAGATTGCTATTTTGCAATTCTATGGAGTGAAATCCTAACCCTATTGTAGGCAAGGGGAGTTTTGTCACTGACTTCAGTGAGGCCCGGATTACACCTATGATGTGTAAAGTCTTCAATCAGACATTAATACAGCACCTCATGAGGGGTCCAACCTTGATTGGGGCCTATAAGTGCTACCATAATTCAAATAACTGCATAGTTCACTATTCTCTAAGTAACTTGTTGCATGTCACTGATTTGGCACTGCTCTGCTTTCAATTTTGATTAAGAGGACAGAAAGGTGATTTCCTACGTTATTCACTTTGCATGATTAATTAAAAGCCATAATCTATCAATAGAATATGATGTCAATGGTTTGTAGTTAGTGGCCTTCCACTGCAATAACTGGATTTTTATAGGTTAGCATTAAATACAAATAAACAGGCCGCCAAACTCTGTTCTCACAGACAAAACCTGATATTACAGTTACAACTCACAGTGGCCCAACTTCAGTCAATAAAATTTACACTGGGATATTCCAGGAATTAATTTGGGCTACAAGTTTCATTGGTAACTAAAGGTATGTCTACACTGTAATTAACCCCCGCTGGCTGGCCCGTGGCAGCTGACTCTGGATTGTGGGGCTGTAGAATTGCAGTGTAGATGTTTGAGCTTGAGCCCAGCCTCTGGGTTCCTCCCCTCTTGCAGGGTCATGGAGCTTCAGTTCCAGCCTGAGCCCAACTGTCTGCATCATGATTTTACAGCCCGAGTACCGTGGGCCTGTGTCACCTGACAGGTCAGCTGCAGTGTTTAATTGCAGTGTAGACATACCTTAAGAGCAGAAATTGGTCCACTGTGTAAAAGTAGAATAGATGCTACAAGTTTGAATTGGTTTCTGAAACCAGAAAAGAAAATTTTCTCCATGTGTAGGGGGTAACTGGTAACATTCTGAACAGTAGTCGTGGTGTGGATTATTCACATTGCTTTGATGTGTCAGAGGTGGAGATGGTGGGGAAATCAAGTGACTCAGGATAGACCATTCCTTAAAGCAATGGTATTCTGCTCTCTTGTGATTCAGATTAACAACAAAAACAACAAGGAGTCCTTCTGGAACTTTAGAGAGTAACAAATTTATTTGGGCATAAGCGTTCGTGGGCTAGAACCCACTTCAGCAGATGGTGAAGTGGAAATGATGCAAAATGTAACTGTAAATTCACTATCTGTAACACACTGGAAAGATAACTCACATTTCAAGTTAGTGACACAGGGTGAAATCCTGGCCCCATTGACTTCAATGGGGTCAGGCTTTTACCTATAAAATTCTTTATGGGCTTGATCCTACTCTAGTTGAACTCAATAAAGGTTTTACCGCTGATGTTAATAAAGAAGAATCAGTCCCTAAAACAGCGGCTGAAGTTGTGTCGCTTTTTGTGAAAAACAGTCAGCTGCAGACATCATTAAAATGTTTAGCAGATATGCTAATACCCCTGCTCTTTTTTCTTTTAGGCAATACTCATGGATCATAACTGTCCCCTTAAAACAAAAATGTATACTCAGAACAACATCCAGTCATATCCAATAGGTGATGATGAAGAATCTGAAAGTGATGAATAATATTAAAAGCCATATTGAGTATATTGGTGTACACAATGCAGTGTTTCCTGTGAAACATCTCATACAGAAATATGTTTTAGGTGTACTGTACTTTTAATGGTGAAATAGTAAAAAAACCAAAGGTATATTATTTATTTCCCATGGTTATAACGCAGATTGCCAACTGCCTTATAAAGAGAAAATAGCTTTTATAGGGGTTTGTATAGTGTTGAAAACTTTATTTTATGTATTTAATTTTATTAAATATTATACAGTATATTTTTGATTAACTGTGTAGTTAAATCTGTATAAACATTTGAATCCAAACTATAATTTTCTAAATCTTATTCATGGACAATGACATAAGATTTCGTAGTTTGGACTCATTAGTGGGTAATGAGTTCTTGACAGTAAAATGCTTCTATTAATTATTCCTCTGATTAAAAAAAACTGTGAAGTTCAAAGAATACACAACCTATCCAACTCTCAGCTCTATTAAATGTACTGTGCTCTTTGAAGCACATTCACAAGAGATAAAGTCTAGAATTAAGACAGCACATTATTACCAGTTGCTCAGCTCAGGGTCATACAGTGCCATCAATTTTGGTTTCTTTGCAGAGCTCCCCAGATGATTCCAAAGGTGAGCTCTGCATAAAATTGATGGCATACTGAGACCTTACGGTAAGAAAATAAAACTTTTTTTTAAAAACAAAAATTGTTTTCAGACATATCAGTGTATTGCTAAAAAAGTTAAAACGTGTTTCTGAAGGATGGGTACTGCTCTAACTCCAGTGACTCTCGCTGGCTCATCCACTAAAGGGTATTGTCACTAGCTTCAGAAGAAACTGTGTATTTGCTCTCTCACACAGGAGATACTATGGTTTCCATCTGATGTATGAAGGAATGCTGGGCAAGTTTCAAGTCAGGAACTCACTTTGGATATATAGGGATGAACTGAGAGGCCAGTGTTTGTTGGCTATTAATCTAAAATAGCACTAGGCTAACTAAGGAAACAAAAGATAAGGGTCAAAATCTGTATTCTCTCCCCCCACCCCGCCCCTTGGGGATTACAGTTGTATCAGAGTGAAATTGGGTTATAAAACTACAGCTGATGTAAATATAGATGTAGCTCCACTGAAATCAATTCAGCTATGCCAATTTAAACCAGCTGAGGATCTGGCCAAGGATATGTAAATATACAACAAAACCAAAATTAAAACATTGCCATTACTTTTTTGCACTGTAATGTAGTCTTAGCTAACCAGACATTCTTGGTGCTGGGAAAACTGGACAGAAGAGTATTTGATATCTCCTGCTAAAATTATTTATGTACAAGTGGGCTATTATACCTTCAAGAGAGTTAGAGCAGCATGAAGCTTTGACATTTACAATTTTTATATTCAGATCTTTTATTTTTTGTCATCTCAACTTTATTTCAGGTACTACTTACACATTCATTTCAGGATTTTTATAATTAGTTAAGATCATTGCAGTACCACAGTATTTACATTTAACATCTTACTTGCAGGACTCAACTTCGGTAGCTTTGACTAAAACCTATTTTACACTGATTTGCCTACATGTCTAGAAATGTTGTTTGTATGTTTCTTCTATTTGAAAATGAAGTCAAGTTATAAATTTAGCCAAAATAATGGAAAAGTAACATAGCTCATTATCAATACCTCTAGTTATTTGATGAGACTCAATCTAATGCAATGAAAGTACTGCATTAGACAATCTACTTATCTGCACTGAGAAAAATCGAACTTCTAAAGTAAACACTCAACAAAAAACTGAAGTATGTTTTTTAATCTAGTGTTGTTTACATGTAGTTTTTGTTTGTCAATTAAAATCTTTATGTGCCTTCTTTCATGTATCAGCAGATGTTTTATGTACTACAGCAGATACTCTATGTTTACATATGGTTTTGTAAAGCGTATATAGTATGGTCAGAAAGTATGGAAATGCTGTGAATCAAATCTCAAGTATTGCTTTGTTGATAATTATGCAGTAAGACTACATAAAATAAATAAAAAGTAATCTAAAATAAGTTCATGATTTATTGCAACACAATATGGTAACTATCTCACCATTTTCTATGCTGTTATGGTTTGCACACACCAAGAAGTGGAAAGAAGGTAATCAGAATTTATCAACCTCCTAGGAAAGCAACATTCAACTCATACCTAGTCTATTTATGATTTCTAACAGGCAGGTTAAACATTTCCACGCCAGGAGACAAGATGCCGGTGTATAAGATGCCTGCTAATGTAAAATGAGCTCCCAAGCAATCTGACAAATGATTTTTGATCCAAATTTTAATTTTTGCAAACAGATGTAGAAGGCATTACAAGGCATACAGGAGACTGTTCACTCCTGAATGGACATGTGTAAGTAAATAGCAGTTATGAGGCCACACCACAGCAGGAATCGACCCCCTACAAAGTATGAAGGATCACAGCAGAGACTTTGACAGAGTCTGAAAACTGACTTATGCTAGTAACTAATTTTGCATGTGGCTGTCTTTTATTATATTTGATTGATGCAATAGGGTTGACAGCATTTCTGTAGTTTCCGACACACTTAAAATACAAGAAAATGATTCCTTCTATGCCCCACAAAGTATTTGGAGGACAAACATTTTTAATCAACAGAGACTGAGATTTGGCAAGTCTGTCAACAGTTCCTTCAGTCCACCACATTGGTTGCAACACCAACTATATGTAAACTGCCATGCAGAGCAATATCCTTTCTACAGAGTTTTCTTTAATAGTAGTAGTTTGTATTTTCAAGGTTAGCATTTTTTAAAAAATAGCTTCAACTGTGAGATTTAACAATGAAGCTAGTTGCATGACTAGGTAATGGTACATATGAAATTCATGTTTTGACCAGTGAAATAAGTGAGAAATGGGGTCTGGCAAATTATGACTGTGTTCATTTGGGATTTGGATTTTGCAATGTGTAATGGGGTAGTAAAATAGATTATTAGAATTTGTCATGGCCTTGATATTTGTTTCCAAACAATTCTCTGCCTTAAAATGTTTATATCATACAAATTTGTCCATCAATTTAAAAAAATCAAACTTCAGCCCAAGGAAAGAAGTAAGTCTTTTACTTTGTTTTTGTGAACATTTCTGGTTGATATCAATGGTGCAGTTGAATTTATTGCCCTGAAGTTGGATCTATAATACTAACATTTAAATTTTAATTAGCATACAGTATATTCATCTGGATGAAGTGCAATCACTAATTGCATTAATCAGTGTACTGTTTAAGTTCATATTTAGATAACGTAAGTTGCTACATTTAGAAGGGCATATCGAGAAAAAGGTAGAATGTCCTGTTCACTGGATTTATTTTTGCATTTTTCTTGATCAATTAAGAATTTTTAAAAAGAATGAAAATTAAGGGAGACATTCACATTGCTATACAAATCCCAAGTAAATGAGCTTTGTGGGAGAGACCCAGGAGGAGAGATTCAGGGGGTCAGCTCAGTCATCTTCAAGCGAGGAGCAGAGTGCAGAACAAGCTGACGATGGCTCTATGTATCCCCTCATTGTGGGGTTTCTAGTCAGTGTATCCAAACATATCATAGCTGTGCCCTATCACTCTGCCCCCAACCCACCCATATCCCATGGAGACAATGGGGACAGTGGAGACCCTCCGTATGGCTTCTCTCCCTCCCCCAACCCATACACTAGAACCATGAAAATTCTGGGTTCTGTACTTTGGGTCTTCTGTGGCCATGGAGGAACAGGTGGATTTCATCTAAAATCAGTATTAACAACCCAATGGTACTTCATGGCTGTAATTATATTTACCTTTAACCACATGGGAAACTTTGAAAAGCATTCTATTTAGGAATAATTCTGCTGCTGTCATTTAGTGTATTTTTCTATCCGTATTTCCCCTAAAAATATTTGCTGCTTAGTAGCTTGTGTGCTGTGCTACTCCTCCTCCTCCTGTAGTTCTAATTGTCTATTTATGACAAAGTACACATTTCAGGAGAATACAGATGGGGAATTAGCAGGAGGAACAGCTAAAGTGAGTTAGTAAACTGCAAGGATTCTATTTAAAAAAATGTTACAGGGAATAAAAAAATAAAGCACAAGGAAGAAAAAAAATATAGGATAGATCAGAATTATTCTTAAACACAGTGAGTCAGATTGTTCCCTGGACATAGTCATTACCATAATTAGAAGTAGTAGTATTTGTACAGTGCCCAGAAGTCTTAATCAAGGATGTGAGTCCTGCTATTCTAGGCACGCTGCAAACATTGATAAAGTTACACCGTGTATTTATTTGGCCCAATGTTTTTGAAAAACTTCCATATAAATTGTGCTGAGTGTAATTAAAATGCATATCCTAAATACAGAGAATGCAGTAAAGGCTTATACAGCAATCAATAACTTACTTTTCTATAAACATGTATTCTCCCCCACCCTCCAAAGGGTACTGTGCTTTCTAAATTATCATACCTTAAATAGTAATATTTTTAAAATATTGCATTGCAGTAGTTTAACAGTGCAAAGAAGTAACTGATAATTTAGCAAAACTATTTTATTAAAGCTTGTTCTCATGATAAAATCATAGCCAACAAAATCATACCAGGCAGAGTTTCTGTAAATACGTGTAGCTGCCACCTAGCTACATATCACTAAGTCAAATATATTCTCATTTTCTGTGGTATTCTTTATTTTCAGCTATTTACAGGAAAGCAAAGATTACATTAGGAATGTAGTATTACAGCTTTTCCTCAAGAGTCAGTGTTTATTGTAATTAATGCCAGATAAGATTTTTATGTTTTCCTTATGACTCAAATACAACTATTTCCCCTCCCCGTTCAACATATTTAAAAATATTGCACTACATTTTTTATGTTTTACAATCATCATTAGCAGTGTTATATGAAGAAAATTATATCCAGCTTTTCATATCCAATGTATTACACAATTTATATAATTTAAAACCTTGAACGTGTTTTTGTAAAAAACCAAAATTTATGTTATTTCTGCAGCTACTTCATGCCTGGCAGGGTTTAATGATTTACTTGGATATATTTGAAAGCTCTTATGGTAATCCATAATGAGTTAACACTGATGGAGATTTAGTCCAGATTACCACCAATGGTGAGCTAATCAAAAATAAAATGTGAAAGACATAATACGCATTTTAATCAAGTAGAGGGTTAAACAACTATTTTAGTCATTAAAAGGATTTTATTTTGTGAGACTGTTTGCTGAAGCAGAATTTTAAAAAGTGTAATACATGCCTATTTGAGCATGGATAGTGTTTTCCACACATCAGCTAAATAATCATCAGGTGCCCCAAAACTTCACAAAAAAAGGGTGTTGCATGAGTGCAAGTAATTGGTTTTACTTAAAAGTACAAATAGGTTTTTCCTGCTAAAACTATTGTTTTTTTGTTTTTGTCCATCACAAAATAAATTGAGAGACAAATTGAACAGAATACTATGTTAGTGCCTGCCTGCCAATTAAAATCATTAAAAAAAAAAAAAAACAATTTAACTGTATTAAATTAAATTTAACTGTATTTAACTGTTGTTGCACAAAGGCCTATTTGCTACAATCCATGATACAATACAGTACCTAAAATAAAGATGAAAACAATATATGGTCTATCTACATATACAAGATGAAACCTCAAGACACATTTATAATAAATCAATAGGAATATCATACTTAGCCAGATGATGCTAGGATCCAAAACGTACACATAGCACAAGACCAGATGGTTCTTTTCAAAAAGTGCTGGCCAAAATTCCTCCTCACCTCTACTGGACTTATTTGTTTTGATCCAATGCAAAGATGTTATACTTTGCTGAATAAGGTGGTCTTTTTGCTCAAACTGTTTCTTCTGGTTGAGTGGCTGAATGCAGTTCTGTAATTCATGGTGACACCAGAAGTGTTGAGACACGTAGCATATAGTGATTCTGTTTAAATATGAAATTTATTTTGCACTTAATCTGTGGGTGCAAAATAAATCTTAAACCTTTTGAAATCTTAAACATCCTTGCATGCCTTTGCAAGGAGAGTGGTAATGCTAATTCTAAAAATCCACATTTTAGAACTGCAATTTTCCTTTAATAGGTTAAAATGTTACAACATTTAAAAATGTGATTACATTATTCTATAAGGCTGCCAGCTATTTTTATCTTACTAAAAATAATATTGCTACTTTTGCTGGAATACGCCAATAAAATTACTAAACAATATTGGTACATAATTATGTATTATATTCAAACAGGGTTTAATATCCCAAAGGTCTAAGGAGGAAATATTTTGTTTGGTACAGCATTACTATATTTCAGATTAGCCACAACTTTTGAAAAGTTACCTGTGTTTAACAAAAGTATAGAAAGCAAGCAACTTGATATGCAATAATACCTTTACTGGACAGTTGTTATAACAGACAAAAATAAAAGCCACAGTGTTTTCATGATACATTTGGCAAAAAATATACAACTATTTAGAAGACATAAATCAATGCAACATGATCAAAATTTCAAAACCTGGTCCCTCAATAACTGCTGTGTTGTCATCAGTTTAGGCATGCATCAAGCTCACAATGTTTTCATCATCTAATGGAAATCAAACATTTCAAAAATCCTGTTCAAAAATTTCCTGTTCAAATCACTAATTCAAAAACAAAAAAGGTCAATAATACACAAAGGACACCACATATACATTAACATGAAATGTTAGCTTACATAATTAGAAAAAAGTTAAAAATAAATTATTAAAAATAAACTCCCAGTATAAACCCAAAAATGTAGTTTTAACACAATCTGAACCAGCCTGTTTAACAAAATGGTGGTACTGTAGCTGGAAAAATACCTCTACTAACCTTACTCTTACACAGGCAAATAACTGTGGTGAAGCAGGTCATGTACATTGTACCAGTGTTTAATTAAATTTTGACTTATCTGATTTTTTTTTTTATTAAGTGCAAAGTATTCTTTTCAATCCATTCTTCCGAAAGCCAAATATGCAACTATCAGTCTACTGAGTGAGGAGTGTCAAGCGGTTCTTCCGATATGCTGTTGAATGTTGGAGCCTCCGTCACACTGACATCTTCGTGATCCATTTCTTCTGTAGTGCTAGTGTCTTCTGCATATTTAGTCATTTTTCTGGATTGCTGGTCTAAAGGTGCATTTTCCAAAGATTCTATATCCTCAATGCCTGCTCTGTAGTGGATCATAAGCAGTGTAAGGGCTTGCAGTCTTTCACCTGATTTAGCCAATGCAGCAGAAATTAGTGCTTTTTTCCTTGCATCGCCTGTCTCTTTTTCTTCTCGAATGAGTGAATTATTATTTTCCAATTCTTGGTCTATTTCATTCTGCAGTTTATCCAACATGAACTCTAATTTCTGGAACCTTTCCTCTGTAGGCAAGCTTTTATAGAGATCACGGCCAATTTCTTTTACTGCAACAAAGACATTGTCATCTAGTCCTCCCTCCTTTTTTGCTAACTTTATCCCTGTGCTAACTGCACGTTTTGAGGGACTATTTGGACTGCAAATTTCAGTGTCACTGCTTTCATTATCTGAAGTGTTTGGAGTGTGCTTTGGTGAAGGTTCTACAATGTCCATCCCTGGCTCAACAAGACGAGCTTTAGGGACTTGACGAAGATTTAACAAACGGGTACTTGTGTTGATGATATGTCTTGTTAAACCTGTGGTTTTGTTCACAGATTTAGATTCTGAATCAACACGAGAGGATACAGCTTGAGGACCTTCCTGCCCGTCTATCCTATAACTTCCCATAATTCGGTCAAGTCTCCTTTCAGCTCCTACACAAAATGGGGTTTCAGTTAGACATTTTTCTTGACATTTTTTATGACAAACATAAGCACAGAGCATGCACTGGGAAGCTGCTTTAGTCCAAACCTTCTTTTTGCAATAGTCACACCAGGTTGGATTCTGGAACTGAGTATCTTGAAAATTATGCTTGTTTTCCGTAAAAATCATTTGTCCCAGATAAGGATCTTCTTTCTGAAGTGCATGAACTTCTTCTACCAAATTATATTCCTTTTCCTTCTCCAGCAGAAAACTTGAGTCTTCTGGTTCCCCTTCTTTTAGATATTTAAAGTGTAAAGTTATATCGCCATAGCAAAACTTTTCATTGAATCCCTTATGCACTGTCAAATTGCGCAAAGCAGTTCTAGTGACTGCTGCTTTAGGTGCAGGAGCGTTTAATCTAAGTGTTCTAAGGTATTCCATGGATGATGTAGCTATACAATCTAAAGCAATTTCTTCAAGTTTTATACTTATGTGTCCTAAACAGATAAGACCACCCATTTTGAAAGGGTCTCTGCACCAAAGTGCAACATTAAGGTACTTATGGTATCCTTCCACTTCAAATATACAGGAGGATGCCCTTATCCTTGCCCATCGACCTTGTCGATTGCGATAAGGAATTTCTGGTGATTCCCATGTATGATGGTCATCACTTTCCTTAGAACTACGTGAATTTTCTGAAATTGTATCTTTTACTATTTCTGGTTTTGTTACTGCTGGTTTTGATATCGCTGGGTCTTCCACTTGATCATTATTTTTTGTTACCTTTTCTGTGCATTTATCTCCATTGTTTGCAGGTGGAGGAGGCCTCTCTGGTTTTTCAGAAGATATGTCTCCTGTTTCTAACAGATTTTGAGTTTCACTAGAAGGCAAAGTAAGTTTAATTTGTGGCCTAGGTGGTACAGGAGGTTTAGTACTGCTCCCCTGAGGTGGTCTAACTGATTGTTGTGATGTGTCCTGACCCTCGGAACTTTTGGGTACTACCAGTTTGACTCCATCTTTTGGTTGTGTTTTTAAAGTTGTCTGATAATTTCCTAAATGTAGCTTGCGATTTAGAATTGGAGATATTGTTCCAAGTGGTTTAGTAGCAAATGTTACTACAGAACGTTTGGGACTCTGAGTTGTTGGCATCTCTTCTTTGAGCTCAGGTGACTTTATCTCACAAGCTAAATCTTCAAATTCTGAATCCAGTTCTTTGTTATCAGCATCTGCTGAAACACAAGTTTGTTCCTCTTCTGGGTGTGCCAGAAAAGCAGGGTCTTCTAACTGTCCAAAACCATCTTGCAGTGCTGCACCATGCTGATTATAACCAACGGGCCTTTCATAGAACACTAAAACTCTGTCGCCAGCCTGCTTGATAAGCTTTAGCACTTGAACAGTCGATGTGATTTTAACTCCTATAAAAAAAAAAAAAAAAAGAAAGAAAAATTAGCAAACTTGAAAGCAAAAAATAACATCCGTGTCCAAAATCAGTACACAAATTCATTCAAATCTGTAATATTTAGTAATATTGTTATTAATAAAGGGGAACAATCAAGCTATTACGATAAAAAGATCCCAACTGGAAGGTAATAATAGTAGGATTCTTTTCATTATTCTTACCGAAGTAGAACAGTACTGGTGCGGGGGAAAAAGAATAATTGATAAAAAACAGTTTACTATGAAACTAAAAATGAATTGGTACATACTGGGGATTTTTAGTAGTATTTAGCACCCAGACACTAGAAGGATGGGTACCTGTCTTAGAAATATGCATAGCTAAAATAATAAAGGTAGTGTTAGGCTAACAAACAGATCAGCACCAGTACCTTAACAACAGCATGTAGGCACAGTGGCCAAGAATCTCATTTGGGCTCAACGGTGGGAGGAGGTGAAGACGGCTCTAAGCAACCTATTTTCCTGATCCTGACCCCCAGGCATAGCCTAGACTGATAGCTAAACATCGCTCTAAGGCCCTGATTCAGCCAGGTACTTAAGAATGTGTTTAATTTAAGTATATAAATAGTCCCATTGAAGTCAGTGAAGTCCAGGGGTGATGTAAGGTGGGCTATACCAGCCTCATGCCAGGCAAGAATTCTGTTGGGGCATTCTTCAGCTGCCTGTCTGAGCCAGCTTGAAATCCCTTTTAGACCGCTAGAGCAATGCAATGAGAATTTAAGCAGGGCCCAGGATCTTGTTGTTGTTTAGTTTAACACTTTAATGTAAATCAGTTTATTGTTAGAGTTCCATGGGGTCATCAACAGAAGTAGACTCTGTGGTCTGAATCACTGGATGTCTTTCCTGTACTTGAGTACACGGGCATTCGATTCAGGATTTGGTCCTGTTTGAAACCTGAGCATGCCCTACTGCTGAGGCATGGAATTGTGTTATTGGTGCCCTGAAATGGTTTAAATAATTGTATGACTTATTTATTTCTCAGGAAAAGGGTAAATGGTGACTGATGTTCTGGCTCTGTGATCAAGGCCTTGTCCTGCTTGCCATAGCAATCTGAACAATTCAGCGTATTATTTTACCATAACTGGATAGCTCATTTTCACTTCAATTAGACTTGACATTTACACATCTATTTAGAGATAACTAACCGCTGTATCATCTTAATTTTCATACTGGTAATTATGAAGATAATAAATATGCAAAATAAATTGACTGTTTTCAGATTTTCAATCAACTACTAACAAAAACATCATCTAGTAATAGTAAATAGTAAACTATTTAAAAAAGAAATAGAGAGGTTACTAGAATCAGTGGTTGACCATGGTTTAATACCACAGTATCTCTGTTGGACAAAGAGCAGCTATACAGTCCATTTAGATATGGTCCATATAGTGTCAAAGTCTTCCTGTAAAGAAAGTTGAATTCCATTTTTAACTATGGTCTGTGAGCCCAGGTGTTACATACTACCCTCAATCCACACTAGGATTCCCAGTGATGACAAGGGAGGTTTGCACAAAGATCAAGGATACATCATGGCTTTTATGCAGCAACTAAACTTTCAATTAACATTAGCCAAAATTTGCAAATCTGAGTACCTAAAGTTAGACTCTTAAGTAATATTTCAGCTCCTAAATAAAAGTGGGCAGAGGGTCAGACATGATGAGAACTTACAGCTCCCAATATAAAAATGGTACTTTCATACTCAACAAATCTCCTTGGGTCACATTTGAGTTGTATGTGATTATTTTATGGTCAGAAATAACTTCACACTCATGTTAGCACTTCAGAGCCAATACTGGGTTTGCAGGCCTGGGAGACAGAAATACTCCTCTACCTCGATATAACGCTGTCCTCGGGAGCCAAAAAATCTTACTGCATTATAGGTGAAACCGTGTTATATCGAACTTGGTGTGATCCGCCGGAGTGCGCAGCCCCGCCCCCCCGGAGCGCTGCTTTACCGCATTATATCCGAATTCGTGTTATATCGGGTCGCATTATATCGGGCTAGAGGTGTACTCTATTTTGCCTTTTAAGTAAGCAGATGTTATAGTAAAACATTAAAAGACCATGAACAGGGAACCCCACAATGCTGTTTTTAGAGCTGTGAAGAGTACAACTACACTTTAAATGTTTCTTCAACTGTTTGGATTTACATCAGGTATAGAATAAATGTTTTAATATGCAAGTAAAAGGGTCACAGTTAAATTATACATCTTAGGTGGCCATAAATACACAAAAGCTAATGTAACAATAGGAGACTGGTTTTTGTTGTTGTTGCGGTTTTAAACAACATTTTACTTGAATAAAACTGATTACTGCTCTTTTAAAAAACAAATGACGTGATTGCTTACCTCCAATTGCTATAAGTCTATCTCCCCGTTGAAGATCAGCAGCTGCAGCAGGGGAGTTTGGTGTAACAGTTTCAACAACAACATGTCCTCCATCCTCTTCCTTAGACGGCACTAGACGGAGAGTGAGTCCAACACTTTGTAAATTCCCTTTAATTAGTTCTGCCTGGAAAAAAAAGAAGTTAAGTTTATTGGAATACAGTGGTAGTGTAAGAAACAGAGGTAACAGAGCATCAAAACCATTCACTTTTAGGATGCTACTTTGTATGTAACACATTATATTTGAACCATTTGGCTATGTACTGTACTTCTGCCAAAGTGCTTTTCTATCCATTTGAAACATTGCAAGTTCCCCTATGTCTAGTCTCTCAGCTTGAAGGAGTGAAATTTAATTTGCTTTTTTCGAGGACTGAGACACGGCTGCTGTTTACAGAAATCCTCTAAGGGAAACTTTTTTATTTGCTTTCAATTTACTGAGTTTAGGTAGGCAGTTTTCCCCCTCCCCCCCCTTTCCTGAGCCACTATTCAATTGTCTATGTTTGAACTGTCTGGAGTTTATCCTCCTCTTTTGAGTGGGTGTTGGTTTGCTCAATATCATAAAATGGCTTTTGTAGATGAAGCAGAATACTTATGAGATCCTTTCCCTGCCCATACCTGGCTTTATCAATGCCCCTTTGCGATAGTCATGACACTCAGGGCAGTCTTGTTTTTTGATAAATAGTTAAGTTTTGTACCATACTTTGTAGCTATAAAAGTGCTATGTACTACAATTAATTTTCTTCTTTTACCTAAAAATGGTCTTGTGGTTAAGGCAGGAGATCTGGGTTTACTTCCCAGCTCTGACGCAGACTTACTGTGCGAACCTGGGCAAATCATGTAATCTCTCTCTGCTTCAGGTCTCCAGCTATAAAATGGGGATAATATTTTCTTTCATGCTTTTTGTCTATGCTGCTTATTTTGAACGCTAAAACTGTAAACTTGTCAGGGCAGCGACTGTTTCTTACTATGAATATGTATAGCACCTAGAACAATGAGGCCCTGATCTGGTCTCACCTGGGGTCTCTAAGCGCTTCTGTAATGCAAATAAATAATCTAATTGCCTATAAAAATTAGCTCCTCCCATTCCATTCTATGTGAGAGACAACTCTAGTATAAGTGTTGCTTAGCAATAGGCTATTCAGTCAGGATTAAAAAAACAAATAGAAAAGTTTATTAGAAATATTTTTGGAAGAAAGTATAGAAATTTTATAAAAGGCCTATTCCACAGAAAGAGACTTGACACAGTAATACACTTTTCACGTCATCAAGTTCATAGACAGAGTGACTTTAGGTTATGTAGCTTTGCATATTACAGGATTAGAAGACGACTACTGATGGCAAGAGACTGACAAGAACGAACTGTCTCTTTGGTAAGAAAGTGACAGGAAAAACCAGGATGATTTCCATCTTATCTGCATTAGGGTTAGCAGGTTTTTCAAATTTAATTGCACTGTATTAATACTTCTTTGGAGCCTTCTGCCATCTATTTTGATGGTCTACAGTCCTTTATTAAATCTAATTCGAAATTATGAACCTCAGCCCATAGAGTCTGGAATCAATTAACAAAATGTGATATTTCGATGTCATGGTAAGAAGAAAAAGGCTGGGGTCTGGTCTGGTCCGTTAGCTTTGTGGTATCTAAGGAGAAGAGCTCTGTTATCCTAGTCACAGGCGCCGGCTTCTAATTTTCCCTGGGGATGCTCAACCTCTGGTCAGCCCCAGGCTGACCCCACTCCACCCCTTCCTCCAAGCCCCCCTCCGCCCCCACTCCACCCCTTCCTCCAAGGCCCTCCTCCCCCCTGTGCCTCCTGCATGCTGCAGAACACCTGTTCTGCTGTGTGCACAAGGCGTTGGGAGGGATGGGGAGGAGTTGATCGGCGGGGGCCACAGGCGAGTGGGAGTGAGGGGAGGGAGGGGAGTTTGGCTGACGGTGGGTGCTAAGCACCTGCTAATTTTTCTCTGTGGGTGCTCCAGCCCTGGAGCACCCATGGAGTCGGCACCTATGATCCTAGTCCTGAATTCCCTGATAGTTGAGGTAACTGCTCAGAAAGCTTGGCTTTCATAATATTTTGAGAGTTGCTTTTCCAACAGGGTCAAAGTGTGGTTGGAGAAAAGTCTCAGGATTATTTCTAAGTCCATTTTGAAGAAAGTAATGATAACTTATTTGAAAACTAGTACTTGACAAGATGGCCTCTAATACAGTGCAATACGGTGTGAGGTAGCAATGATCACTAAATGGACTTAATATTAGTTCTGAGCAGTAAAAGTATGTGGATGGGGAGGAATGGAAAGGGAGGTAACTGACTACAGTGCCTAGCACAATAAGCCCCAGTCCTGATCATGGCTTTTGGATACTAGCCTCATAACAATAAAAACAGACACTAATAATAATGTGCGATAGATGTTTGAAAAAAATAATTACCAGTACCTTTAGTTCTTAGACAGCTTGTCAGCATAGATCCCCATTTCTGGAAGGGGCATGCACTCTAAAGCACTGAGTTGGAACCTTCTAGAAAGCGCTGAGCATTAGGATCTCTCACACGTACTTCCTGGAAAAGACGGTTACCTACCTGTACAGTAACTGTTGTTCTTTGAAATGTGGGTGCAGACATGTATTCCACTCAGGTGTGCAGATGCTCAGCGCAACAAAGCCAGAGAACTTTGCCTCATTGTACCCCATAAGATGGCGCTGGTGACCTCTGACTCCTAAACCCCTCCCCTGGCTATTTACGGGTAGCATTGCCCTACCTGCTCAGTTCCTTCATGCCAAACTTCAGAGTTGAGATTCCAATGCAGAGTGGATGGAGGATGGGTTGTGGAATACATGACTACACATTTCAAAAAACAACAGTTACTGTACAGGCAGGTAACCATCTTTTCTTCTTCCAGTGGGCTGCAGATGTGTATTCCACTCAGGGACTCACAAGCAGTATCAAAAGGAGATGGGGCTCGGAGTCTCCTTAAACACCAACTGCAGGACTGCTTTCCCTTTATGAGAAAATCAGGTTGAACTGGCTCAGGAAGAACGACCTCAGAGTATGTCTGCAATGGAGGTAGCTTGGGAAGAAAGACTGCGGTTGGGATTGGAGATCTTGCCCTGGACTGGGTTGAAGAACTGGATATTGCAGACTGAGAAATGTCCCAAGGAGGCCATTGGGAATAGGGGTAAGGCACTGATGGCCAGCAGGTACTAGGCCAGGAGCCCCTATATCTTTACTGCAGCAAAGGTGACAATCTCTGTATTGATGGTGGTCCAAGGACAGTCTCAAGGACTTCTGAGAGTGTTGCTTGGAAGGTAAGAGAGAGGAAGAAAATTATCCTGAACTCGATCCTGATGAGCCCTGGAAGTTGCCAGATGGTAGCAGAGGAGCCACTCCTGACTGACAAAGCAAATGACCAGTCTTGTCCGAAAACGAATATGGAGACGACATCAGTACTGAGGATGGATTAGCAGTTGACACCTTCAGTGTCGAAACAGGCATAGCACTTCCATGCAGTATCAGAACAAAATATGGTAACCAGAGCTGAGGCCAGTACCACCTAAGACGAGGTCTGCAGTTAAGATACCTTCAGTGCCAAAGATAACGTCTGCACTGATGGACCAGTCAGTGCTGAAAAGAAGGCTGACCACCCCCACAACCCTGCACTTTGAGTCTTGGGCAACGCAGAACATGGTGCCGACAAATGAGACTACTGTGACCAGGCCACTCGGCGCCAAGGGCACAGCAGCAGAAGCAGTAGGCATGGCAGCTGAATGCTCCTGAATTATTGGGGAATAATCAGAAACAGAGAGTAAATGCAGGTCTGATGACACCTGCTATGCCAATGACATAGGGACAGTTGGTGCTGACACTGTCGTCGTCAGTACTGGACTCAACGGATGCCCTGTTACTGGAGTCACTGGTACAGTATCCAACTGATCTCGGTGTGGTACTAGATGGCTCCGCTCCACCCTAAGTATTGGAGGAATTATGGTGCCGGTCAGCACTCCTCTTAGAAGATGAAGGAATCTCTCAGAGTCCTGGAATGGCCTTGGTCTGTCTCGTGAGAACTCTTCCTCAGAGGGTCAGAGGAAGGAGAATAATTCCTCTTAGGGGAAACATCAGACCTCGAGCATGGAGCAACATTTCGTGTTGGCTCCAAAAGGCTCTGCCGGATCAGATGATCTACAGAGGCGTGTGGTGCCGATCTGGTCTTATGGCCTGCTCCAGAAGGTGCTGCTTAAGGTGTAAGTCCCTCACCACTTGCATTCCCTTCCTGAACTACTTGCAGATGGAGTACCTTTCCTTAATGTGCCCCTCTCCCAGGAACAACAAGCACAAAGTGTGTGTGGGGTCACTATTAGGAATAGCCAGCCCACATGATGGGCAATGTTTAAAACCTGGGAAGCGCATTCCACCAGACTAAAACTAGGATAAAAACTGTTACTAACTACTTCTAATTAACAAAAACCTAAGAATACTACTAAACTGCTAACTATACACACACCACAAAAATTCAGAAACACGAGACAGAAAGAAGCAAGAGGTAACCACCACAAAGAATCTTCCTACTCAAGCTGCAGGCAGTGCGAAGGAACTGACGGGAATTGAGGTGGCACCACCCTTATGTAGCTAGGGGAAGAGTTAAGGGGCCAGAGGGTGCAAGTGCTGCTAGGCGGCTCTGCGCGCTGGTCCCGTCCTGAGTGCTGGCTCCGCAGCTCCCCTTGGCCAGGAACCACGGCCAATGGGAGCTGCGGGGCAGCGCCTGCGGGCGGAGGCAGCGCGCAGAACCGCCTAGCCACGCTTCCACCTAGGAGCAGCAGGGACATGTCGCTGCTTGAGGGGAGCCTCCCGAGGTGAGCACCACACGGATCTGGCACCCGGCACCCCCTCCCGCACCCAAACTCTCTCCCAGAGCCCATGCCCCGCACCCCCTCCCATGCCCCAACTCCCAGCCCTGAGCCCGGTCCCAAGCTCCCTCTCTCTTAGTTAACTGGAATTTTTGACTTACCAGCACTCCCCCCATACCCACAACATGCCGGATAACAAAGCTTTCACTGTACTTGAAAGAGTTATTTGAAAAGGAGAGATCCTTGGAACATGAATCAAGCTCATCCCTGGTGTGACTGTGTTGAAGTTGATAAATACTTCTTATGAAGACATTAAGCTGCTCTCATTTACCAAACTAAACCAGATGAATAGATTTCTTTCTGGCAACTTTGAGATTTTCAGAAAATCTAAGCAGCTCTAATGTTTCTGAATCTTTCTTTCAAAATGAAACAGGTTATCATCTTGAAGACTTGATTAAGGCAGCTTTCTATCTTGGCTGATATAGGTCTGATCCATTTGGGCACTTAAGAACAGATGGGTGTCTACATTTTAACTTTCTCTTCAGTGCCAGGGAAGTGTAAGAAATTTCTTGTTGTGGAACAATATTAAATGTTTCAAAGAGGAAATATAACCTCTGGAGAAAACACAAGAAAGATAAATCAACCTCCTGATTAATACTTGTATCTTTTGCCACTTTTTCTACAATTCTGAAATTATACGATGGGTATTTCTGTCACTCAAAGATGTAAAACAAGTATTTAAGGAACACCTATTTCCAGTTTTACAAGATTGCCAGAGTGGTCTTGTTTTCAATGCAGATTATTGCTCAAATGAGTGAGGGATTGTTCTTAAATTGTGAATAATTAGTGGTTGGCAGAGCAATTTCAGATGGTCCCAAAGACATAATGGTGTAGCATCCGCCAAAATGCCAACAGTGACACTTCCTGCTAGTTATAGTGCAGTCCAGTGCGCTTTCAGAGTTCCCAGGGATTATTTAATCAACTGAACTCCCATACCTCTGTGCGTTACATGTAGCTGCTTCATGTCTTTTTTTGTTGTGTAAGGTTTTTGGTGTAAATTAAACGGAGATCAAATTTGTGGATGACAGCAAATTTAGAAGGATAGGAAACACTCAAAGATGGAATCAACTTGCTAAATGACAGAGCAATTAGAACAGTGGGGCTGCAGGTAATGCAAGGAAATTATTTATTAGTAAAAAAAAAAAAAAAAAGTCTTACACCAGGGAGAAAAACTGTAGATGCACAAAACCCATTATAGCCAAAAGTACCAGCACTCCTCGTATTAAAGTGAGTTTATTTTCATTTGGGGTCATTAAATATTAGATCTATCATTACTTTTTTTAAATGTAACCACACACTATAGTTCCTTAAGTAATGCATGGGATTAGATGGTACAGAGAGGAGGCTGTCAATGAGAGGATCTCTATATTCAGAAATGGTTCACAGCATGAAAAAGTTAGAGAACCACAGCACTAAATTGTGGTATATCCTGGAATATATCATAAAAAGAGGGGCATGAATGTAAAACAGCCTCTCAAGCATCATCCTACAGATTGTTCATGAAATAATCTGATGATTAGGCATACATTGGGATGGGAATAGAGAATTAAAAAAAATACAGCATAAAAAGCCAAATAAAACTTGTTCCTTTTGTTTTTTTAATATATATATAACAAAGGACACAAACATCTTATTCAGCTTGGAATTAATAAAACATTGTGATGTGGTGTCACAAACACAAAATTTAATGGGCTATAAAGTGTATGAACATTGATTTCACAATAAGGGTTTTGGAAGCTCATCAATACTACTACTATTTGTGCATCTAAATACATCATGGAACATAGACCTATTATTAAACTGAATAGTGATAGTTAGGGTTATGTTCTGGAAGTAAACTGAAGGAAAAAAATACATTCCCTGTGACTCATAGCTTTCCCCACCCAAGTCTTGTCATTTTGGAAGTCTAACAGATGTTAGCTGCAAGTGAAAATCAAAGTGTTTCTTTAATCTTTATAAATCTGAACAATGCATTTATGATGCTTAACTTCATAGCTACACATTTACAGCTTAGAAATGCATAGCTTGCTAATATCATTAAAAATATTCTCAAGAGGTGATAACCAGGATCTAATTTATATCTGCAAATACCTGCACCTATAATTTTGAACCCATAAACTGCAGATAGAAATGGAGGCTACTGGACATCTACCTCCTTGATTTACACCTGTAAAAATGTACGTAGATGTCTATGTGCTACCATCTCAGCTGCAATTTGTTATAGGGGCAAAAACTGCCTCTTCTGAGAAGGTGGGGAAAAATGTTTTCAATATTACTGTAATAGCATAAGTAGGACATAAACTAACCATGTCTTTTAAAGGCTCAGTTTATGAATTAAAATTGGGTACAGCTACATAGTTAAGCATCTCTATGTAAGGAATGTAAATAATGCTCATTCACAAAGGTGGACTTGGAAAACTACCTCATCTAATAAGGGCAGTAATATTAGACGTTTGCAGGCATAGTGGTGTTGTCATTTTGACTAGCCTTCCAGAACATTAAACTACACCAAAATGATATACCATGACATACTTAGAAGAAAGAGAATTTAATTTTCAGTAACTGAAGAATTCCTGTCTCTCTTCGGTTTTACCATATTCACATCTCTCTCTCTCTCTCTCTCTCTCTCTCTCTCTCTCTCTCACACACACACACACACACACACACGAATGACCAAAGGTACATATTCTTTTAAGACAAAAATCAATGTAAAAAAATATGTCTGGCTTCTACCTAAGTATAGGGGGTTTGAAAAATCCCTCTTCAGTGGCTCTGTATAGGTTTCCTGGAAACTTGACATTGTCTTTTGTTGCTGTATTGGCCCTTTAGGCCAAATAATCAGCTTTTACAAATGGTGGACATTTGAAATTAACAAAGGTGTTGTTCACTGCAGATCTGATTTTTTTTAACCTCACATAAAAGGATAGGAGCATTTTTACAAATAATTCCTATTAACTAGCCAATGGAATATGTATTGATTGTTAACTATGTGGCATTTACTATAATTAGAGGTAATTATAGCTTAGCTGTTGTCACTACGGTGGCAAATGTGTATGTCATAAATTGTCCAAACACAGCTATCACTTTCCTTAATTTATGTCAGCTGAAAGCATTTAACAGATTTTTAAAACTCGTTAACAGTATTACAGCTGATTCCTCTAACTACTGTTAGTATTGATAGGTGCAGCATAATGTAGTTTTAGGGAAAAAGTAAAGAAACGTGTATAAAGAAGTTTGTAAAACTAGCATTTCTGAATGCAGAGCTGACGTGGGGGAATCACATACAGAATCACATACAAGGATTTTATACTAATCATTACTATTGAAGGTCACTATTTGAGAGGTAGTTGCTTGTCTTCTGCTGCCTCAGAAATAATTGTAGGTATAAATTATTAAAGACTGTTGCAGCACATCACCCTATAAAATAAACTGTGGATTGAAACTACCGTTTCTTCATTCCTATGAGTGAGTGCAGTCATCCTGGTTCCATCTGCTTTTGTGAATAGATTAGAAACTTATATTTCTGGGCCAGAATGGGCTGTGGAAAGATCAGGGAATCCCAATGCAATGGCATACACTCAGATTCCACTACAGCCCACAAAGTCCCTCTAATAGATGCTGTGTTGGGGTCCTGATGTTAGGAGGGAGTAGGCTCTCCTCTCTCTGTGGCATGCTCCCAAATCTATAGGGCAAAGAGAGGCAAATCACTGTTGTTAGAGTCTGAAGTCCTCCTCTGCACTACAGAACACCCCTTCAGGGGGATCCAGTCTGCATGGATAAAGAAGATCCACAAGTTTAGACAAGTGAATCCCCTTCCCTTCCCAAAGTGGAGAAACTCCTCCTGAAAGAAGAACAAGGAGGAAACTCTACAAACATTTGACTAAATCCCGAGGGCCAAATCCAGCCCTCAAAACACTCACTTTACAGAAAACTATTTAGCACAATTTTTAGAAACAAGTTGGTTATTAGTTTATTAGGCTGAGATTTCTAAAACAGTCTATGAGAGTTAGGTGCCCACATCCTACCCAAATTCAACAACAATTGGCCACTTAACTCCAATTTGTGCCTTTCAAAAACATCCCTTTAATCTTTATATTTTCTTTAGCACGTCAACAGATATTTTGTGAAAATATGCTTATAAAAATTAAATTGGAGAGAACTGAAAACAGAAAAATAAGCAATATATTTTATCTGATTGTTTTATGTATATTATCTTATAAATTGTAGCAAGATTTCTCTTCAGTTTCGGTAATAAAATGATTAATTCTGGCTAACACTTCTGTATCTTTTCTAAATCCTATTCTTTCCATTAAAAACATACATATGGTAATTAGTCCGTAGTTTTAGCATACACAATGTTGGATTACTTAATACAATAGATGGTACACAAATGTTATAAAAATTAAGTATACTTTCATGAAATTGCAGTTAGAAACCAGAGCATACTCAGAGAACGCAAAGTGGACGGGTAACATATATGAACTTAGAAGGTAACTGAACTGTGCTTATTAAATAGGCTGTTAACAGAGGATGAGAAAAAACAGGCGCAGTTATATGAAGCAATAACAGTGAGTCTGAAAAACAAAGGCACAAAGATATAATCAAAGCTTTCATTTTAAAATAAGGCTTAATGAGCAACTCATGGCTGTGCTCTCATAGTAGGCTCTTGAACTCCCTTTAGGCTGAGGTAAGAATGCTGATTCCAATATATACAGAGAATTTTCAGTTTTCTCTTGTGGGTTCACGATACTGAGATAGCTTAGATTAGCCTTATAGGTATATGATGCAGCTTCTACTTGCACAAGTTTCAGATCTGAGTTGGAATAGCCAACTGATATGAAAGTAACTAACTGTTGGTCAGAATGAATTAAATGCCCCAAAACATCAAAAACTAATTTCACTCACATATTCAACCACCACTGAAGATGAAATTGAAATGAGAGATTCCCCCAACAAGCAAAAGAAAAAAAGGAAAAAACACCCCCAAACCTTTAAAACTCAGTTCAAGCATTATTATACAACCATTTATCTATTGTTACTCTAAAGTATATGTTCTCACATTTACTCTAACTATACACTTAGGAACAAAGGATACAAATCTTGGAAATACTTATCAAGGAAAGGGGGGACAGAGTAATGCAATGAGTCTTTCACGATTTTTGATGGCTAGGGAATGGGAATTCTCCCGTAATTTTATTTTACTAATTTCTAATTAA